GTGTGTGTGTGTGTGTGTGTGTGTGTGTGTGTGTATGTGTATGTGTGTGAGGACATACTGAAATGAAGGTTTATTGTGGACTGAGGGAAATCTTGAGAGGCGGGAGGGGGGGACACACCTCCCTCTGTCGCCCTCAGCTGACATCCAGGGAGGCACATTTTGGAGCTCCAGCTGAACTCAAGCCCACCCCTCATTCCGCGCGCACGTGCATGGTGGCGCTCAAACTTTGCTGGACTTTGATCGATTGCGTTTGGCGCGCGTGCAGGGACACAGCTAAGATTTTTATAGCCCTCATAACGAAACTCAAGCCTGCCCCCCCACGTGCCCCTCCCCCCTGCCCCCTCCAAGAAAATCAACCAAAACTAACCAAAAAGATGCTTTTTTTTTCTTTGTTAGTTTCTTAAAGGTGCTCCAGAGTAACACAAAATATATGATCCTGAACACATGGGGCAGTTAAAAGGATTTTACTGACTGAGTTGAATTTGAGATAGTTTGAATTTAATATTCTGAAATGCAGGTACGCACTCAGTGTGAACCAGTGTTGTATAAAGTACGTTAATGTGATACTTGAATAAAAGCACAAACATCTTACCTAAAATTACTTTGGTAAAAGTTTATAGTCTCCCTTAAGAATATTGTTTGAGTAAAAGTCTTAAAGTATCATTTAAACATTGGCACGGTGGCTCAGTTGGTGGAGCTGCTGCCTCTCAGCAAAAAGGTTGCTGGATCAAATCCAGGATAGAGACCTTTCTGTGTAGATTTTGCATGTTCTCTCTGTGCATGCGTGGGTTTTCTCCAATCTCCAGACACTCTGGTTTCCTCCCACTGACCAAAAACATGATGGTTAATAGATACTGTAACTAAATTGTCCCTAGGTGTGAGTAAGTCAATAGTTGTTTAATTGTAGATGGTCCTGTGATGGACCACCAGTGACCCTAAAAGGCAGAGGTGGGTAAAGATGATAGATGGAAGTATTAAAAGTAATTTTCTTATATAAAATGTACTTAAGTATAAGTAAAAGTAAGTGATTCCAAATGGGAAGGTGACCACCCCAAAAAACATTTTTTAAAAGGTTAACGTTATTTTAAAATGCTAATGTTGAAACATTTGGGATGCACTATAGTCTTCCTGTTTCAACTGCATAATATATTTGCCACGGTTGTTTTCATGACCACGTACGCTTGCTTATTTTGAAGTGTAACATCATTTCTGTACAGGTATGATGGATCGAGCACAAACCAATAGGGTGTCACAATGATATATTTATACTTCTCATCCAAGCACAACTAAACTCACTCAAGGCATGATTTATAGGTTTTTAATTATGATTTAACAATAATACGTTGGAATGAAGTAAAAGGTTTAGCTGAAATAATGCTATTCAAGTAAAATATAGATAACCAAAATGTGTACTTAACAAAGTGTTTTCCCTTTGTTACTTTATAAAAAAAATACAAATATAACACATTGGATATGGAGGGGGGGCTGAGTCATGTGATTGTCACTTTGAAGCTTTTCTAAATTTACTCCACAAATCTTTTATACAGTTTGTCATGTTTTACTGAAACACCAGGTGAAAAGTAATGTTTTGGTTTTTGTTTTATTTTACTGCCATTTGAATTGAATTTACGCCATATTTCAGTTGTCTTCTAAGGAAAACCTGAATTAGGTGACCCCACAGCTGAGCACAATCATCCAGGCAGAGTTTAGTTTGTTCTCACAGCTTTAAAACAATGTGTCTCAGTTGATGTTTCATGTTTTCGTCATTCTTTTTTCATTACAATGTAAAGCTACAAGCCTCAAGCATTTTTAATAAAACTGTTTATTGAATCAAATTTTTTGAATTATTAGTGAAAATAACATATATTTTGTAAACACAAATGTTTTTTAATAGTTTAGTTAAATAGGCCAGAAAATGATCTTATAATTGTTTAAAGTTAAATACAGAGTGTCATTAAAAAAACTTTGTATTAGAACTCACAGAGCTAACAAAAACACCTTTTTACTTTTAGTGAGATCATTTGTTTGACAGTAGAAAGTTTAAAGGGATCCATGATTAGTTGTAACATTAGACTTTATTTAATAAACATGTATTTTTACTGCAAAATAAAGACTAAAAATACCATAGGATGTTCAGTTTTTATCATTTTT